GCTGCGGGGCGTAGTTGCGGGGTCTGGGAGGGACCGAAGCCTGGAGGTCTGGCCGCGGGCCCGGGGCGTCTTAGTCATGTTTCCGTCCGCCTGCTAAGGGGCGCCCTGGGGCCGGAACCAGTGATGCGGGGCTCAGGCGCTTGAGGCCGGAAAGCGATGCGGAGCAGAGGGTGTTGAGGTCTGGCTCAGGGCTGGGTCTCCACCCGGGGTGAGGAAAGTTTTCATCACTAGTGGAACTGAGAGGAACTATGAAGGAGAAGGTCGCGGGGCTGGGGAATCCCTGACCAACTGGCTTTTACTACCCACGTTTTTAATTTGTCCCGTTCTACTAAAAGACATCGAGATAAAAGTTACGCAAAGCACTGTTGCCTTCCTCGATTCGTTCATGTCTAAAACGTGAAATAGTCTAAAACAAGGCAATGTGGAAATGCGATTATGCTCAGGAATAAATAAATAAGTAGGAAATGCTAAATCTAATGCACTTCTTTAAATAAGATGTTTGAAAGAGCCTAATGACTCAGTCATTAAAGAAAGCTACCAAATGCCACATGACCATCTGTAGTGGTCCCATAATATTTTGGCGGTTTTTAAATGTCATCTTTTTGTATTTCCTGAAATTCATCTATTAGATAACTTCATTCATCTATTAGAATATGAAAGAAAAATAAGTCTCACAAGATTCTGTAAAGTATATTCTTATGTTTTTCAGCAGAAAAGAGACCAGTATCCTGAATTTATTTTGATGGTCAAAAAGTTAAAGGTACCAAATTTTGTTTTCACTTGATAGTATTATCTTACCATTTAAATTTCTTTTTTGTCGTTGTTGTAGATGGACAGAATGCCTTTGTTTCTCTTTATGTGGTGCTAAGGATTGAACTCTTGCCTCACACATGCTAAGCAAGCGCTCTGCCACTGAGCTACAGCCCCAGCCCCTTATTTTACCTTGCAGAAAGCAAACACCCCAAAATCTGGAGTTTCAGAATAATAACACCCCCCAAACCTGAAGTTTCAGCACTACCTATCAGCATTAGTAAGCAAATGGAAATGTTTTTCTTTTCAGGCTAATTCTCTGGTATGTTTTGAGGAAAGTGGTTTAAGAGATTAGTTTTATCTCTTTCTTGATAACTGCAACCTTCAGAAAATAAATGTTTAACTTTGCTTCTTCTGTGGCTTGTTCACCTGAATTCAAGAAGATGGAATTTAAGAAGCTTTGGAAGGAGTAAGGAATAGAGCTCTGGAAATTCTTTTTTATTGAGTATCTCCTGTGTAGAGTTGTCTTATAAAATGGCTATATGAGAAATCTATAAAAGGAATTTTTTTAATTTTAAAAACATTCATTGTTTTAAAATTATATACAAATTGTAAAAAATTCAAATTTTACAGGTAAGTTTGTTTTTTTTTTTTTAAAGAAAGTGTAATTATCCGACCCTGCCCTTCTTCCCCCATTTAGTGCATAGTTGGAGTTATTCCTTTTTCACCTTAAGTAAGGTATTATGATCACTTATTTAACAGAAGAGGGAACTGAGGCTCAGAGACAAAGTAAATTGTTGATGATCACCTGGATGATAAATAGGTTAAGATTCAAACCCATGTATCTGATCCCAAAGTTTCATTATTTCTGCTATTCCAAAAAGTATCTTAAGCATTTGTTTCATTTAGTTTAAAATTACTGTGACATAAAGTCTCTAAGTTTCAGCTTTACATTTATGACTTCTTTTGTAAGATGTACAAATAGTTTGCAAATTAAAGTTTAATTATTTGTAGTAATTTCTGGTTCAAAGGGGATCAAAATTTAACTTGAAGGGAATTTTGGTCATTTACCAAAGACAAATTGGTTTTCTGCCTTTGAAATTTATGAGTTTTTCTTAGCTCTTTTAAAATTCCAGGTTCTCCTTGATCAGTAGTGTGCTTTTGTACTTTCAAATGCTTCAAAAAACATTTTAGAAGAAGACTGTCAGAATTTAGAAATGAAAAGCATGTAAATACATGAACAACAATCATTTGAAAAAATAATTTAGTTGGAAAAGGTGTATATTTTGTCTCTCTAGATACGTATATGTTGTAAAAAAAAAAAAAGATCCAATTTTATTCTTTCCATATGGCAATCTATTTGTGTTAGCACTAATTTGTTTAAAAGACTATTTCTTTCCCATTGAATGGTATTCACATACTCTTTGGAAAATAAATGGGCCTACATGTGAGATATTTATACATATCTATTCCACTTATCCATGTGTTTATCCTAATGCCCGTACCACACATTTAATTTCTATAGCTTTTTAAAAAAAGTTATTTATTTTTTGTCTGTCAGTGGGCCTTTCTTTTATTTATTTATATGTGGTGCCGAGAATTGAACCCAGTGCCTCATACATGGTAGGCTAGTGCTCTGCCACTGAGCCACCACCCCAGCCTTAATTACTTTAGTTTCATAGTAAATTTTGAAGTTGATAAGCACAGGTCTTCCAGTTTTGTTCTTTCAAGATAATTTAGTTATTCTATGTCACTTGAATTTCCATATGAATTTTAGGACCACGTGTCAATTTATGCAAAGAAGTCAGCTAGAATCTTTATAGGGTTTATGTCGACTCTATAGATCAGTTTGGGTATTAGTACCATTTTAACATTTTAACATTTAACATTTTAACAGTATTACATCTTTCAGTTGGTAAACATGGATGACTTTCCATTTATTTAATACTTTAGAAATTTCTCTCAGCAGTGTTTTGTTATTTTAAAATGGAGGTTAAATTTTATACTTCTTAAGATTACAGCAAACTGAGACAGCATTTCCCAAGAATTGTATGAGAAAGTAACCCTTCAAATTTTGTAAAATAACAAAATTGTTGTGTGAGTGGTGAGCATATGCCAAGCCCAGAACAATTTAGAATCAAGGATAGAATTCAAGAGAATCAAGGCTGCAGCAGTAATATTTTAGATTTATAAACTGTGTGTCTATCTTAAGTGTTTTAGGAAAAATTAAACTTTAAAATTTAAGGGATCAATCTGTGATCCTGAAATAAAATATGTAATAAACTAATAAAAAATAAAATTTGTTTTTCTTTAGTCAAATTTATTATTATTCTTTTTTAAAAAAATATTTATTTTTTAGTTGTAGTTGGACACAATAGCTTTATTCTCTGTATTTATTTATTTATTTTTTATGTGGTGCTAAGGATTGAACCCAGGGCCTCACAGGTGTTAGGTGAGCGCTCTCGTTGAGCCAGAACCCCAGCCCAGTATTTTATTCTTTTCATGCTATTGTAAGTGGAATTGTTTTCTTCATTTTCAGATTGCTCATTGCAAGTGTGTAGAAATTCAATGGTTTATTGTATACTGACTTTTTATACTTCAACTTTACTGAACTTTTTATTGTTAGTTTAGTGGATTCCTTAGGATTTTCTATATACAGGATTCTATCTTATGCAAATAGAGAGTTTTACTTCTTCCTTTTCAATCTGATGCTCCCCTTTTTAATTCTTTTTTTTTTTTTTTTTCTTTGCTTTTTTTCCCCCCTCGTGGTACAGGGGCACCAAGGGTGCTTTGCCACTGAGCTACGTTTCCAGCCCTTTTATTTTTTATTTTGGGACAGGCCTCACTAAGTTGCCTAGGCTGGCCTGGAACTGGTGATACTACTGTCTTACTTTTTTGAATCTCTGGACTTATAGGTGTGTGCCAATATACTTGACATAGTAATTTTATTTTGTGCATACACAGGTAAGTATCAGTTTTAAATTTAAGGATTTCAGTTTTCTGTCACATACACCACAGTAAATACACTCTGCATGGAGGCAGTTTTATTTTGTATCTCAGCTGTTAAAAATGATGTTTAATAATAGGCACAGCTCAGCAAAAGAGGCGGACATTGCCTACAAATAATCATTCAACAAAATTATAAAAAACTTTAGAGGCTATTGGAGTGACTTTTCATGAGAAATGGTAATCATGATAATAATAGTATTAGTAATAGTTACACTCTATTGCACTTTACTGTATTTTGGCAATCTGATGACATTTTATTCCATTTTCTTGCTTAACATTACTCATTCTTTGCTGTTTCATACTATTTCATTGTCTGGATGCATCATAATTATTTTTCCCATCTCTCATTGAATGACATATACATTGCTTCCAATATCTTGAAGTTGTAACAATGCTATAATAAATAACCTATTACATATTATAGCAGTTCTCTTTTTCATCTCTTTACCTTTTTGTATATGTTATGACTTAATCTTAGGAAGAATTTAATAAACATCTAAATTTTGTTTTCCTGTAAAGTTGCTTAGTTCATATTTGACCTTAATTATTATCCTATCTGGTATTTCAAAAGTGATGTCATAAAGCCAAATTATATCACAAATCAAATATTTAACTTTTTAAACATAGGCTTTTAAAATAAGCAATTAAAATTTAATTTAAAAATTAATTAATTTAATTTAAAAATCTTAAATTTTTTATCAGGCCCCCTATTCCATATTTTTATGGATTTTAGTTCACATTAATCATTAATTTGCTAAAGAAAGTGGGAATAGGAGTGGAGCCTTTGCTAAAGAAGCAGCATTTGCAAAGTTTGCAGATAAATGAGATCATAGATTGCAAATTTAGGGTAGCATACATTTGGTTAAAAACAATTTGATCAATGCAGTAATTTGGCTTAAACAACAGTTGGGTTGAAAATGAATATTCTCTAGTTATGATTTTTTTAGGTATTGGTAATTGTGGTGTGAATCATGGGTTGTTTTTCAAACTTTTGTGTTGAAACTTTCAGAAAACCTTTTTCTAGTTTGCCTTTGTATTTCTAATTGATTTTTCTAAAAGTATTTAATTGTGACTTTTTTTCTTTTTAGTGAACAAGCTTTTGTAATAAGCCAAATAACAACAAAAAGAGTTGTATCAAAGAAAAGGATCTGAAGTTTTCAAGGTTTGTAGTCTTTTCTCTAAAACCTTATTTTTCTAATAAATCAAATGTTAGTTATGTCTGTTTGACTGGTTTAGTTTTCATGTTGCTGAATTTCTGAGTAACTTTGAATAAAAGTTTTATCAACTCCTGCTTAAGGAGCCTTTCTTTATTATAAGCAAACATGGAAATTCATAGTATGATCTTTATCCCTTTAAATATAGCATTCAAGAACATGTGAAGTCTCTTTAAAAATTAACTGTGCTGAGGTTGAATTCTGATTTCACCTGCAGTTATTCACTTTGTCTTTTTCATTGTTTTTAAATTTGGGTTAAATTTTTTATTATGTAAGAAGGATAACAGACTCAGTTACTCATCATTTAGCTGTATTTATTAATGTTCATGGTGACTCTATAAAAGCAAAACCTTATCCTATATTTAGCATTTTATTTTTAAAAATTTTAGATCAATTGTGATTTCAATATGTGACTGGACTTTGGATAGTAACAGAGAAAATGTAAGCTAAAAATTGGGGCACATTTGTAAAGCTGTTAAAAGCAGACATAACTGAAAAGTATATCAGAGAAGCAAAAAGTACCTTCCATTTCATCATCAGAGAAAAATTGTGGAAGAAAGACTTTATGTGAAATAGAGGTGAATATAATTACATTAAGCTTGGTCCTTACAGCAATTAGAATTTTAAAAAGGAAGAGAAGATACATGGCAGTGAAGCACTAGGGATCAAGGTAGAGAGGATTGTAGTGTTGAGTCCACTAAATAGCAGAGACCTGACTTCCTGATCTGAGAGTGTGAACAGTTATTTGCTAGCTAGATTAGTTAGTATGTTTTGGCTTTCAGGTACCAACAATATCCAAATAAAATGGCTTAAGCTTAAGCCATAAACTAAGATAATTGTTACCTATCAAGAAGGTAGAGGCAGGACTTTTCCACTGTTAGAATTAAGGGTCTGTGAAACTATTAGGATGCTCAAGTACTATTCTCTGTGTTATATTCATCACATTAGTGATATTTGTCCTAATGGTTTTAAGATGGGTTTAGCAGCTGGTGGTGGTGGTAGGGGGAGGTTAGGTTCACATGGAGGTACAATCAAATGCTATAGAGAAAGAGCAGTTTTCTCCTCCTGTGTATACCCCTTTATTGTTGAAGGTAACCTCCTCCAAAGACTTGCTATCCAGCTTCAGCTCTCTTAGGCCCCAGAGTTAGGATTGGGTTACATCCTACCTCTGACCTGATTGTAAGGGAGGTGAGAAGGAGGACTTTTTATAGAGGAGGCACTTTTAACTCCTGAAGTATAAGCAGGATCTGTGAGCAGGGAGGAAGGGTGGAAGGAGTGATTGTTAGATAGGCAATCAACAGTGTTTGCCATATTTGCCATAGAAAAATCACTAAGCTGCACTTTGCTATCTTATTGTGATAATGTAATTCCTTAGAATACAAGTGAAATTTAAGGGTGGGGGGTAATTCTTAAATATGACACTGGGAATTATGATACAGTTTTCTTTTCTCTGCATTGGGAAGTCTACAAATTCTAGTTTTTTTTTTGATCTTATATAATGATGATTATCTTTAGATTATGCCTCCTGAATTGAACATTGGCAGCTTATAAAGCAATAGTTTCACACTATGGTGTTTATTCTGTTGCTAGAATGAAGGACAGAACAGAAACCCATACTTAGCTTTTAGGGTTCATGATGAAATAGCAAGTGCTTAAATGATTCAGCAGACTTTTTGATGAAGTTTTCATGAGGGACTTCTTACTGTCATTGGTGTATGTAGGCAAGTGGCTTAAAATAATAAGGGCTCATCTGGCCTTTATGTTGAAATTAGAAATTCTTCTTGCCTTTCTTTGTCATAAGGGCAGAAATGATAGACTTAATTCTCTGTTATAATAATATAGTAATAGAAACATAGCTTGGGATTAGACAACTTTGAAGATACATGAAGTAGATATTCACAGTGGCTTTTACATAGTTATTGTTTTTCACAGTCTTCCCATTAAATGTGGAATCTTTATGATTGCATTTTAAGAGGGCCATTGAAAACTACATCTTGATTCTAGAAATTGACATCAGCCATCCATAATGAAAGTTCAGACCACCTATTCAAAAAGAAAAAGCAGGAATGAGTATTCAGTGAAAACATATATCAGTGGGAAGGTACTGAAATAGAGAAATAACAGGATTCCTCAAGAATAAGAGAAGTTTGTGATGAGAGGCTCAAGTTAAAGTGTATATCCCCTATCTTTGTGGTTTTTTTTTCTAAGTCAGGTATTAATAGTCTGTAGTCAAAAAAGAAATTATTTTGAATAATACTCTTTTGGGTATATTCTTATAAGTTGGCTCTAATGAATTGTAGACTTTGGCTAATCTTAATTTCATATTCTTTTCTTTTTTTATGATGTATGACACACCAAAAAAATATGAACCAATTCACATTAGAGGAAGAATCACAGTTGGCTTTAAATTAAGTAGAACAAACTAAAAAACCTAAGTGTTGAGAAATTTTATTTCCTTTCCTTCTATAGTTTTCATTTATTTTAATACTTTCTTGGGTAAAAGTTTAAAAGATATAAAAGTGAAAATAACAGAAAGGTTATCCCATAATCCACGATAACTGCATTTTTATCTACAGATTTTCTGCAGTGACACAACTCTAGATGTCTGAATTAAGAAGCAGAATAGATGGATCAGCAAGGAATACTTACTATTTTATTCCTAATCTATTTACATAAATTCATAAAATTTCTAATCTATATCACTCTATTTTCATATTTTTTCACAGTCAACTGCTATGTTCTCATGAAACATTTAAGTTTTTCTTTTTTAAAAAAATATTTATATTTTAGTTGTAGTTGGACACAACACCTTTATTTCATTTATTTATTTTTTTATGTGGTGCTGAGGCTCGAACCAGGATCTCCCACGTGCAAGACGGGTGCACTACTGCTGAGCCTCAACCCCAGCCCCACATTTAAGTTTTTCTAATTTTTCTTTGTGGTTGTTACTCTAAAGTAATAGAAACTGGCAAAAAAATGAATTAGAATTTAAAAAGTAGGATAAAACTCAAAACATTCTGAAAAATGAAATAGAGATGCTTAAAAATTGCTTTAAAAATAATCAAAAGTTACTGTCTGATATAATTAAGTTACTAATAAGTGAAAAAATAATGACTGGGTGTATTCAATTTTTCTACTTTCTGAAATTGATGTTTTGTTTTAGAGTAATTTTATTCATCATAAATTGTTTTGTAGTAATTGTTTTATTAGAATTAATTTTAGATTTATAAAAGAGTTACAAAGATACTACAGAGTTCCCATAAACTCTTCACCAAGCTTTCTCTAAGGATAACATCTTTTTAATTTTTGCTAGTGATACTAAGGATTGAACACAATGCCACTTTACCACTTCCTTTATATTTATTTTTGTATTTGGAGACAGGCTATTACAAAGTTGCCCAGGCTGGCCTGGAACTTGTCATCCTCCTGCCTTAGCCTCCACTTCTCTGGAATTGCAGGCATGCACCACCACATCCAGCTTCTAATGATAACATCTTATATAGCCATGGTACCAAAACTAAGAAATTAATTTTAGTATAGATATATTTATTTTTAGTTGTAGATGGACACAATACCATTATTTATGTTTATGTGGTACTGAGGATCAAGCTTAGTGCCTCACGTGTTCTAGATGAGTACTGTACCACTGAGCCACGACCACAGCCCTGGTATATCCATTTTTGGTGGTTATTTGAGCCAAAATCTCCTGTTGACCAACATGCCCTTTTAGGTGAACATGTTTAGTACCCTGTGATCTGATTTTTCCATTCTTAGGCTACAGGTGACTGATTGTCTTTTGGGCAGATATCCCACCTTGTTCAATCTGAATGCTGGCCAGAAATCTGTGATGTGACTTTATCAATAAAGTGGTTTTCCTGTTGTAATTTCATTTTTAATCTATATGTATCTTTATAATATCATTGTTTCCCTTTATAAAGGAATCCAAGTGTCTATTTTTTTTAACCCAAGCATAAATGATACATATTAGGCAACAGCATCATAGTTCACTGTATGTGAACTATGAGTATGTGTATGTATGTTTTTGAGGAAGGGGAGGGGTCCTATGGGAGAAAAAATGGTGAGAGATCAAGAGGCATTTACCAGAATATATCTCTACATAGGGCCAATTTATTGGCTTTCCCAGTAACCCTCTATTGTATGCTTGTTCTTTGTGGTGTTTGAATCTGTTGATGAGGACCTTTCATGGGTTCTAGAATATTTTCATCTTCTACCCCCCTCAAATACTATCTGTACCCTCTTCTGTTTTCTTTATCTTCTGTGTCTCAGTCTACTCTTGTAAAATACTAAAAGTATTTTCCAACTTTTAATTTTTTTGTGATTTATTCTATAAGTACCTTTGGAGAGGTGGAGTGCCTCCTTAATCCAAGGTTTACAATTCCCTGAACCATGAAACTATGCAAACCTTTGTTATAAGACTGCAGGGACTGGCTTACTTTTAGATGACTATTACTTTGAGAATGTTGCCCTTTGGCGCCACAGGTCACTGTGGGGAAGTTATCTTTTAAAACTCATTTTTTTAGGGGGTTTTGTGCTTTAAATGATGTTCCTCTTAATCCATAAGACCCTCAAACAAAAATATTTTTCCTGATGACCAGACACCCTCAGGTCAAAAGCAGCTCCAATGTTAATTTTCCCTAGACTCCCTAGTTTTCTTTTATAGTTTTGGCTGAGTAACTCCTTACTCTTTACTTGTGACTTTTAAGAATTTGTTTTTCATACTTCACCCAGTATTTTTTGTTGTTTTAATGGGAAGAATTGATTGAAATCTATCTTACCATTTTGGAAAACTGGAACTTATTTATATGTTTCTGGTATTGATCATGATTAAATTAAAAAAAACACATTCTACTTGATGTTGCATTATAGCTATAGACTCATAAGGGGAGCCTTGACATATTATTGTTTAAAAAGAGTGTGGAGCATCTTT